CGTACGACTGGTCCGGAAATTGACATTTCCTCCTGAGCACAAACTGCATCATAGATTTAAGACGTATTAGATATAAAATATATCACGAACGGGAACATCATTCATTAAATCCATTCAAGAGCATACTCCAAAATATATACTCAAACGTCTCACAAAATTGCAAAGGACTGGAAGATACAAGTGTGACGTACGACTGGTCGGAAAATTGACATTTCGTCAAGAGCGCAAATTGCATAAGCGATCTAAGACGAATTGGGTATTATATATCCCCCTAACATGAGAAGTCAATCGATACATCTCTCCTTTGGCAAACATAAAAATATATACATAAACGTCTCACAATAAATCAAACTAGTCGCAGCTACCAGTGCGATGTACAGCTGGTCCGAAAATTGACATTCCGTACATAGCTCAAAGTAAATCAGACTTGTATGACAAATTAGATACTCAATATCACATGAAACGAATGACCAATCAACAAGTCCTCGGTAGGGCAAATGTCAAAATGTATCCTGAAACATCTCACTGAATAACAAATATCGTGCTGCCACCAGCGTTACGTACGACACACCGAAAATTGACATTTCCTCCAGAGCACAAACTGCATCATAGATTTAAGACGAATTAGATATAAAATATATCACGAACGGGAACATCATTCATTAAATCCATTCAAGAGCATACTCCAAAATATATACTTAAACGTCTCACAAAATTGCAAAGGACTGGAATGTACCAGTGTGACGTACGACTGGTCGGAAAATTGACATTTCGTCAAGATCGCAAATTGCATAAGCGATTTGAGACGAATTGGATATTATATATCCACCTAACAGAGAAGTCAATCGATACATCCCTCCTTTGTCAAACGTAAAAATATATACATAAACGTCTCATAATATATCAAACTAGTCGCTGCTACCAGTGCGATGTACAGCTGGTCCGAAAATTGACATTCCGTACATAGCCCAAAGTAAATCAGACTTGTATGACAAATTAGATACTCACTATCTCATGAATTGTATGACCAATCAACAAGTCCTCGGTAGGGCAAATGTCAAAATGTACCCTGAAACATCTCACTAAATAACAAATATCATGCTGTCACCAGCGTTACGTACGACTGGTCCGGAAATTGACATTTCCTCCAGAGCACAAACTGCATCATAGATTTAAGACGAATTAGATATAAAATATATCACGAACGGGAACATCATTCATTAAATCCATTCAAGAGCATACTCCAAAATATATACTTAAACGTCTCACAAAATTGCAAAGGACTGGCATGTACCAGTGTGACGTACGACTGGTCGGAAAATTGACATTTCGTCAAGATCGCAAATTGCATAAGCGATTTGAGACGAATTGGGTATTATATATCCCCCTAACAGAGAAGTCAATCGATACATCCCTCCTTTGGCAAACGTAAAAATATATACATAAACGTCTCAAAATATATCAAACTAGTCGCTGCTACCAGTGCGATGTACAGCTGGTCCGAAAATTGACATTCCGTACATATACCAAAGGAAATCAGACTTGTATGACAAATTAGATACTCACTATCTCATGAATAGTATGACCAATCAACAAGTCCTCGGTAGGGCAAATGTCAAAATGTACCCTGAAACATCTCACTAAATAACAAATATCATGCTTTCACCAGCGTTACGTACGACTGGTCCGGAAATTGACATTTCCTCCAGAGCACAAACTGCATCATAGATTTAAGACGAATTAGATATAAAATATATCACGAACGGGAACATCATTCATTAAATCCATTCAACAGCATACTCCAATATATATACTTAAACGTCTCAGAAAATTGCAAAGGACTGCCATGTACCAGTGTGACATACGACTGGTCGGAAAATTGACATTTCGTCAAGAGCGCAAATTGCATAAGCGATTTAAGACGAATTGGATATTATATATCCCCCTAACAGAGAAGTCAATCGATACATCCCTCCTTTGTCAAACGTAAAAATATATACATAAACGTCTCAAAATATATCAAACTAGTCGCTGCTACCAGTGCGATGTACAGCTGGTCCGAAAATTGACATTCCGTACATAGCCCAAAGTAAATCAGACTTGTATGACAAATAAGATACTCAATAGCTCATGAATTGTATGACCAATCAACAAGTCCTCGGTAGGGCAAATGTCAAAATGTACCCTGAAACATCTCACTAAATAACAAATATCATGCTGTCACCAGCGTTACGTACGACTGGTCCGGAAATTGTCATTTCCTCCAGAGCACAAACTGCATCATAGATTTAAGACGAATTAGATATAAAATATATCACGAACGGGAACATCATTCATTAAATCCATTCAAGAGCATACTCCAAAATATATACTTAAACGTCTCACAAAATTGCAAAGGACTGGCATGTAGCAGTGTGACGTACGACTGGTCGGAAAATTGACATTTCGTCAAGATCGCAAATTGCATAAGCGATTTGAGACGAATTGGGTATTATATATCCCCCTAACAGAGAAGTCAATCGATACATCCCTCCTTTGGCAAACGTAAAAATATATACATAAACGTCTCAAAATATATCAAACTAGTCGCTGCTACCAGTGCGATGTACAGCTGGTCCGAAAATTGACATTCCGTACATAGCCCAAAGTAAATCAGACTTGTATGACAAATTAGATACTCACTATCTCATGAATTGTATGACCAATCAACAAGTCCTAGGTAGGGCAAATGTAAAAATGTATCCTGAAACATCTCACTAAATAACAAATATCATGCTGCCACCAGCGTTACGTACGACTGGTCCGAAAATTGACATTTCCTCCAGAGCACAAACTGCATCATAGATTTGAGACAAATTAGATATAAAATATATCACGAACGGAAACATAAGTCATTCTATCTTTCGTAGAGCAAACGTAGCAACATATTCTGAAACGTCTCTCAAACCAGCAAAGGACGAGCTAGCACCAGCGTAAAGTGCGACTGGTCAGAAAAGAGCGCAATAAAAATCAAAGCTTTATGTCAAATTAGATACCCAATATATCACGAATAGAATGACTACTCAACAAGTCCATGGTAGAGCAAATGCAAAAATATATACTTTAACGTCTCTCAAACTAACAACTTACGTGCTGCTACCAGTGTGACGTGAGACTGGTTCGAAAATTGACATTTTGTCTAGAGTGCAATGTAAATCAGAGCTTTACGACAAATTACATATTCCACATCTCTCGAATAGAATGACTAATCAACAAATCCTTTGTAGAGCAAATGTAAAGATGTATCCTTCAAAATCTCATTTATTAGCAAATATAGCATCCTGCCACCAACGTTACGTACGACTGGTCAGAAAATTGACATTTCGTCTATATCGCAAACTATATCAGCGATTTAAGGTGCCATGGAAGTTAACAGGAAATGAAAAAACAGGAAGTGACAAAATATTTTGCATTTTTAGACATTTTTTGAACAAAGATAACAGAGTTCTGTTTTGACCTCCAGTCAATTCAACTAGTTCCAAATACCATTTACAGGTCCAGGATCACAATGTCCATGGTCAGAATGACCCTAAACATGATGAAATAACCCTTTTCAGCCCTTTGAATATGTGACTGAAAAATAGCTAAAAGAAGGAGGTAGGAAAGGTCACTGAACAGAATCTTTCGAATTTTTCAGAAAATGTGCCCAATATATTGCTCTAAATGATACAATCTTTGAAATTTTAGACAATTGCAATTTTGTGAGACGTTAAGGTATATATTTTTTAGTATGCTCTTGAATGCATTTAATGAATGATGTTCCCGTTCGTGATATATTTTATATCTTATTCGTCTTAAATCTATGATGCAGTTTGTGCTCTGGAGGAAATGTCAATTTTCGGACTAGTCGTACGTAACGCTGGTGGCAGCATGATATTTGTTATTTAGTGAGATGTTTCAGGATACATTTTTACATTTAACCTACCTAGGACTTGTTGATTGGTCATACTATTCATGAGATATTGAGTATCTAATTTGTCATACAAGTCTGATTTACTTTGGGCTATGTACGGAATGTCAATTTTCGGACCAGCTGTACATCGCACTGTTAGCAGCAACTAGTTTGATATATTGTAAAACGTTTATGTATATATTTTTACGTTTGCTAAAGGAGGGATGTTTCGATTGACTTCTCTGTTAGAGGGATATATAATATCCAATTCGTCTTAAATCGCTTATGCAATTTGCGCTCTTGACGAAATGTCAATTTTCCGACCAGTCGTACGTCACACTTGTACATGCCAGCCCTTTGCAATTTTGTGAGAATTTAAGTATATACTTTGGAGTATGCTCTTGAATGGATTTAATGAATGATGTTCCCGTTCGTGATATATTTTATATCTAATTCGTCTTAAATCTATGATGCAGTTTGTGCTCTAGAGGAAATGTCAATTTTCGGACCAGTCGTAAGCAACGATGGTGACAGCATGATATTTGTTATTTAGTGAGATGTTTTAGGAT